ATAATTCCTCTGTGGTAAGAACTACTTCAGTATCTGGCAAATCGAAATTCTCTAGCTTGCCCCCAAAAGGAAAAAAGTCTCAGGTGCCACACTAGGATGGATGATGTCCTCATTCAACACCTTTATTGACTGTCTATCCATGATTGGCCCTTGGAAATTTAGGGTGAGGCTTAATTGAAAACAATTACTTTTGGTTAGAACCCACACCTGATCATCGGATGAAATCAGAGATATGAAAAAGGTTGATAGTGTAACAAATACCAGTAGAGATGAAGAGCGTCAAAGAAAGAAGGTAAATATTGAACTTTGATGCAACAGATCATGGGTTCTTTGATTTTTGGTTTGCTTTTCACATTGCTGTTAGTGGTTCTGGATAGTTTCCATTGAGCCAATACAGCAGCAAGGACAGTACAAGCAAGACATCAAGGCAGCTGCACCTAATCCTGCCGTAATAAACCCACACCTGCAAGTTCTCTTGTCTTGTTCAAACTACTGGCTATCTTCAGCAAAGGTTTTAATATTAAACCTGAACTTTCCTGGAAGCTGTACAGAACCCTCAAGACGTAAGACCAGCCCCACTTTCCCTGATAAACTAGTTAACATCTTTGTACAGGAATTGCCTTTGACTCCTAGGCGTTACTGGCTTTCTGATGAACTGGCTGCTAAGGAGAGTTATGGAGACCTGAATGGGCCCTGTGGAGACCTTTTACATGGGAGAGCACTCAGGGCCACTGTCAAATAACCAGGAAACCCTAGCCACTACAAAAACAATACAAACACATCATACTCAGTTATCTTCCTATTTTCACAATCGTGGCCTTCTGCAATATTTGTGACTGAGATATTTCATTCAACAAAATACGCTGTAGGCTTGGTGTTGTTACGTCTTGTCAAGGTAATTGTGACCCAAAGCTACCCTATGCACAGCAGCTCTGGACCCTGCCCTGTCCTGAGCCTGTCTTACTGACTCCCACACACTAACCCCCACTGCTTCAGTTACTGCATCAATTCATCTCATCCAGAGTCTTCCTCTTCTGCACTGTTCCTCCACCCTTCTGAGCATGATGTCCTTCTCAAAGAACTGGTCTCTCCTGGCCATGTGCCCAAAGTAAGTGAGGCAGAGCTTCAAAATCCTAGCCTCCAAGGAGAGATTTGGTTTCACCCTCTCCAAGACAGACCTATTTGTTTTCTTGTTGGTCCATGGTATGTCCAAGACTCTTCTCCAGCACCACAATTCATAAACATCAATTCTTCTTTTGTCATCCCTAGTCATTATTCAGCTGTCTGATGCACAGCAAGTAATTGCGATGATCATTGCCTGGGTTAGGCTCACCTTAGTCTCTAGATTGACATCATTGCTCTTCAGTACTCTTGAGAGGTCCCTGACAGCAGATTTCCCCAATGCAATTCATCTTTTGATTTCCTGACTGCTGGTGTTAAGAGTGTTGATTGTGGAGACAAGTAAGCTGTAATTGTTAACAACCTCAATCTCTTCTTCATCCATCATGGTACTGCCAATTGGCCCAGTGATGAGAATCTTTGTCTTCTTGATGTTGAACTTCAATCCATATTGAAGACAATAGTCCTTGACCTTCTGCAGCAAGTGCTTCAGGTCCTCCTCAGTTTCAGCAAGCAAGGTTGTGTCATCTGTATAATGTAGGTTGTTAATGAGTCTTCTTTTAATCCTGATGCCACACTCCTCTTTATAAAGCCCTGCTTCTGGAATGCTCTGTTGTGCATACAGATTGAAAAGATATGAAGACAGGACGCATCCCTGAGACACGCCTTTCTTTATTTTGAACCATGCAGTGTTTCCTTGTTCTGACTGCTTTCTGGTCCAAGTATAGGTTTCACATAACATAATCAAGTGTTCTGGGATTCCTGTTTTCTCAAGATTAGTCACAATTTGTTGTGATCCACACTGTCCTATGCCTTTGCATTGTCAATGAAACATGGCTCTAGTACTCTCTGCTTTCCACCAAGATCCATCTGACATTGGTATTCCATGTTATATAGTATTTTATGAAATCATTGCTTCTTAGTATTGCATAATATTCCATTGTGTGAATGTGCCACAATTTCTAAGTCCATTCATTTGTTGATGGGCATTTGGCACCTTCTTGCCATTATGAATAATGCTGCTATGAACATAGGTGTACAAGTGCCCACTTGTGTCTCAATTTTTATTTCGTTGGGAGATATTATTTCTCATAGTGGAATAGCTGGGTCATATGTGATTTCTGTGTATAAATGTTCAAAAAGGAGGGGGACCGCAAAAGAGGAAGGGAGGGAATCACTGGGCTAGCAAAGATAACTGGATGGAGGGGAGTGAAGTAATGATAAAGGTTTAATGGGGGCTTGAAAAGATAGGGCGATAATAGGCAAAAAGCAATGGTAATTAATTATAAATATTATTTCTCTCTCCTAGAGAGAGTGAAATCAGGCTGCTCCTTGGAGGCAAGGATTCTAAGCCTTTTTCTGACATGCCCAAAGTTAAGGAGGGACCTTACTTTCCTTACTCCCTTGGAGAGGGACCATTATGCTTGGGAGGGCAGAGGGACAGCACAAGAGAGGAAGGCTCTTGATGAGATGTATTGATTCAGTGACTGGAGTAATGGGGGGTAGGTGTGTCAGAGACAATAAGGTTAGCACAGGACAGAGCAGGTTTCAGGTCTGTTGTACATAGGGTCGCTATGAGTTGCAGGTGACTCAATGGCACATAACAACAACATTATGTATACCAATGATAGTATAAAATAAAGTTCTTGTACAAAACATGATACATATGAAAGATTATATGCAAAAAAATACAAAAAGCAATAAAAACATCAATTTCCACCAATTTAACCCAGTATTAACTCTCTCTCTTCACTGCTAAAATCAACTGTTGAGTCTTCTGAGGCATGCGGAACTCTAAGATCCATGAGAGTGAGACTACCGTTAGAACGAATGCTGATAAGCCGAAGGTAGGTATACTGTGATCGCAGCAATTATAGTTAGGAATGTTTTGTTTTGCCTCCTTTTCCTTCTCTCCATCTACCTATCCATTCTTTTTTTATTTTTTTTTTAGTGCAGTATACACAATTTATCCAGTTTTTCTCAATCTTACCCCAACCCATTCTTAACTTCCTTCTAACCACCAATCTGTTCTTGTCTGATGTTACTGGGGGTAGGTGTGTCAGAGATGGTGAGCCTGGCAGAGGACAGGGCAGAGTTTAGGGCTACTGTACATAAGGTTGCTATGAGTCGCAGGCAACTCATCGACACAACAACAACAACAACATTCCTGGTAGTGTGTAATTAAAGCACTTGGCTGTGTAGTGAAAGGTAAGTAGCTCAAATCCAGCATCTGCTTTTGCAGGGACAATGTAATACTCTGCTCCCCTAAAGACTTCCGTTGAGGAAACACTGTGAGGCAGCACTCCTCTGTCAAACAGGTTCACTGTGAGTTGGATTTGACTAGAGGACAGGGACATTCCATGCCGAGAAACTTGAACTTCAGAACTGCTAAACAATCACCTTGAGTGCAGTGCCGTTCCTCTAGCTGGATATAAAGTCTGGTGCCGGTGTGTATGGGATGGAGAGGCTCATAGTTCCTATTCCAACTCCATTTGTGTAGGGACAGGCTGTCAGTCTTACTTTGTATTTGGTGTTTTGTCACTTACCAAAATGAGTTTGCAAATACGACATGTGAAGCTGCAACACCATTGTTGCCAGGTGCCACTGAGTCACTTCTGACTCACAGCAACCCTGTGTCCAGTGTATGGACAGCCGGCCTGCCCCTGCGCCATCCTCATAACCTCTGCTGTGCTTAACCCACTGCTGCAGTCCGTGTCAGTTCATCTCCCTGAGCGTCCTCTGTTCCCTTGCCAACCCTCTCTCTTTGCCAGCATGATGTCCCCTGGTGCCTCAAAATTATCTTTTGGCAACAAATTTACTTAAAGCACTTCCCCATTTAAGATACTGGTTTTCCGTGTTGCTCGCACCTTAACAGATAAAAGGCCTCTTGCATTTTACAGGAATTCAAAGAGGGTGATAGACACTTTGGCACACTGTCTCATTGAAAAGAACCCCCTTCTCAGAGTGGCTACGTGGACCACATATGTCCCTGTTGCATGTAAAATGCGGCACACGGCACAGAATGGAGAGTAGCATTGTCTCAGTGTCATCCAGTGGGCATTACAAAGAGCAAGGACGTGGGTGGCTGTGGTGCCTGATACAGCTGTGACTGTAACAGTGACTACAGACACAGGGATGGTGCCCATGAGGGAGAAAAGCCTGCCCTTTTTTTGGAATAGAGCCCTGGAGTAATTACCCAGACTATTGTTCTAAGAGAAAGCCCCATTTACATTCCTTCATCAATTTAGCATCTTGACATGAAAAATCACCAGCATTAAGTAGTCAAGGCAATTTGCTTTCCAAATGAAGAAGGGGGAGGGGGGGGGAGTATGCAGAGGAACTGCTGAGTTTTCTGTGTTTATAGCCAGAGCTCACTTCACAGAAAGGATGTTGAGGAGAAGAATTTTTCCTAACATCCCTTCTTTCTAAGTGGAACTCAAGAACTCTGTGCTCAGGGCCTGCCTACGCTTAGCACTGGGATGATACGGTCTGTGGAGCCAGTTTCCTGGAGGGAAAGGATGGCTGCCCGCAAGCAAGGCATGTCCTATGGTGGGTCCAGGGGTGTGGACACGCCAGCTGCCCTACCTGGGGGACCAGGCCTGGAGCTCTGAGGGGAAAAGCTACAGAAGCGTTGCTCACCTTGATAAGTAAGCTCTCAGGGCAGGGTCCTTGTCCTTCCAAGTGGTCACAGAACGTGAGATAGCTTATGAGGTTTGCCAGTCAATATGGTGTAAAATGGGAAATTACTGAACTACTTACCCCCAAATGAGAACAAATGTAAGATGAATAATAAGAACGATAATGATAAATAACACGGGGTGGGGGTGGGGAGAACAGGTGAAAATCAGAACTAAAGAGATGACCCCCAAAGCTTTGCTTACATTGTGTGAGGATCCCGGTTAGGGCGTTTTTGAAGTTCTCCTTGGCCTCCTCCATCTCTTGCTCGTGGGTGGCCTTCTCGTTCATCAGCCTGCGCACATGGCTGTTGGCCGACTGCACCATGGAGTAGAACTGGTTGGCGGAGCGCCGGTTCACTTCCCCGCGCTCGATCCAGGACAGCAGCACCGTGATGGCCTCCGAAAACTTGCTGTCATCTGGAGAGGCAAAAGCGGAGGGTAGATCATGCCGTGGCAGGAAAGGGTCCTTTCAGAGAGGAAATGTGTGCCACACCCTCACAGGCAGCTTTTCAGAGCCCAGGGCTCGCGCCACTCGCACTGACCTTCACTTTGCTCATCCAGGTCCAGGGTGTCACTGGACCAACCAGCAAACAAAGGTGCTGCTTCAGCTCCTCACTCACCGACTCGCTAAGCTCACTCAGAAGGCTGACCCAGAGGTGGAGCCTCACTCTATGACCAAGCCTGGCTTTCTCTGTTAGGATCAACGTTACAATCTATGACTAACTTACTTAATTTCCGCGTCATTTCTTACTATCAGAGATATCTACCATGATAAAATTTTTCCAATTCACAGAATCAATAAAGTTATTGCCTACGTAGATAACTCTTTTTTTTTTTTTTAAATCTTCATTGCTATTGACACAGAAAGGACTCAGAGCTGACCTTCCAGTGGGCTTCAGTGCCTACAATTGCATGGAGGAAATTGTCTCTTCCTCCCACAGAGCAGCTGGCAGGTTCAGATCACCAGGGAGGCAAGCCGAGCTGCCTTTGGGCCAGCGGCACTGCTGTCTACAGACTATAACACCAGAGCCGGGGAAACCACAGATTACGTTACCTTAAGACTGGGATGTAAGAGACTGTTTCCAAAGTAGCGAAAAAGATCAGAGTTTGTTTAACAGTAGTTTAAAACTAATTTCATTTTAGGATTAATGCAACGTATTTTATATTGAAATATGTCTGAAAGAGAAAATAAATCCTTATTTTAAACAGAAGAAGACATGCTCCCTGGAGTGGTCAGTGTCTGTGAGGACATTCAAAACTCAATCTCACTGCTGTGCAGTCAAGTTCTAACTTACAGTGAATCTTAATTAATAGAGACCACAGTCTTTCTCCCCTGGAACCCCAGGGAGATTCGGAGAGACATAGCTTTCGGGTTAGGAACGCTATGAACTATGACACCAAAAAGTGCACCCTGTTAAGTCTGCTTCAAGCTGGGGAAGGAGGCGAACTGGGTGAAGAGGAAGGGAGGGCAGTCGAGAATGAGGTTCTACCTTTAAGTAAGTGATAAAAGTTGATTTCAAAGAAAACATCCTTGCCTCTAGAGGATGGCTATGAGAAAAGACCTGTGTGGCAGGGCTGGGAGGTCAAGAAGAAGCGCTCTCCAAGGTACCTGAGTTAATGAGAATGCTAAGTTGTACGTAAGTTATTACATTCATTGTTCCTGCTGCTTAAGGCTTATTGCATATTTTTCAGGCAAACTTGAAGGGACAAAGCCTCCTTTCATTTCTGCTTTTTTTTTTGACCCTTTGGAAAGTGATTTAAGAAGAGTATCTTCCATTTTTCATGCAAACTGTATAGACTGCATTCTAAAAGTGAGGTGCAAAATTACATTAGGAGGCTCAGATTCCAACCCACTCATTTGACAGACTGCTGTCTCCTCCACTTGGGGAAAGTCACAGGCATCTTTATGTAAATACATATGTGTGGACGTATAGACATGACTGTACGCACACACATCCCGGAGGAACAGAGGCCAGTGCATATTCGCTTTCATTGCTGTTGAGTTGGAATAAATTCAGAACTGGCCCCCCAGGGAGATTTTCAGAGACTGTAAACTACATAGGAGGAGACGGCCCATCTTCCTAGAGCAGCTGGTGGATTTGAACCACCTGCCTTTAGGTTGGCAGCACAACTCTTTACCCACTAGGCCATGAGAGTTCCATAGTTCATGCTAGGGGAAGAAATTTTATTCTAATAAAAACACTGCATTTTACACATTGTACAAAAGCTTCCATGTACAGAGTGCTTTGCTAGTTTTATACGGAGCTATGCAAATATCTTTGGTATCTTAACCCAGGTCAGGGCCCAGTTTGCTCGCCCAGGCCTATGTACTGGACAAAAGTAACCTGACCCAGCTAATGCTGTGTGCAGTGTACACTGTCTCCTCCAGGCCGGGAAGGAAGCAGATACTATTTGATGTCCTCTGCTTGGCTGGGCTTCCAGAGCCTCAGCAAATGCTCTACTCTTCTCTTCTTAACCACAGCCAACACGGTGTCCAGAAACGTCCACAGAACACTACAGTCACTCACGTTTTCTTTAACACCTCAATCCACAGACTTACTGCGCACTTAGTTCATTCTTATCATTGCTGGTTCATAGAATTTTGTGAACTCTAGCATTCCAGTCTAAGTTCAACCCTCAGTGAACTCCAGCTAGAGTGGTTTCTTATCTCATTTCACGGACTGAAGCGGCTTGTATAAGATAAAAATCCATCACACGACTTAACATTACGTTCTGCCCAAGGAGAGGCTCATAATTTAGCATTATGTTTGTGAGAGGCCCACTGTGCCCGTTACAGTCAGAATAAATTTTGCCTCCCTCATCCTCACTACCTCTCTCCCTGCCAATATTTGTTAGGAGAATGGACATCTAAATAGACAGCAGAAATAAACCTAACGTTTCTAAGAAATCTTTAAGAAAAAAATATCAGCAACAGAAAGCAGAGCATTGACTCCATATGCCCCCTTTTCCTCTGCTGACTTTCTTCTCTACATAAAGTGAGGAGAGAAAAATCAGCAACATTTTGTTACAACCTTTACAAGGAGCGAGAACGACAATGCTCTTCTTTCTTTGCCTTAAATCCTGCTAAGATTTTCCTTCTCCTGTATGTGGTCACTGGGCCTGTAAGTAAATGAATTTACTGTTAGGGAGGCCATACTTAATTTTTAAAATGTGTATTTGCTCTGGAGTACTAAAGTGGCACAGACGACTAGTGCTGCTAACCTAGAGGATAAAATCCACACAAAAGTCTCTTGGAACAAAGGCCAGGTGTTCCACTCCAGAAAAATCAGCGCCTGAAAACCCTAAGAGGCACAGTCCTACTCTGACACAGGTAGGCTTGACAGGAGCTGGGGTGGACTCCATGACAATTGGGTCTATATTTGCTCAAAGGCCCTGAAACCAAGTTTTCTCGGTCTTCATCCCTGTTCCAAGTGCACAGGCCACTGGCAGTTTATAGTTAACTGGCAGATTTCTGAAAGAGGAAACTGGAAAGAGGATAGTTAATTGACATATTTCTGAAAGAGAAAACATTGTTTTAGGATTAAACAACTGAAACTACACTATTTAAAAGAAAGGTGATTAGACCAGAGATTCCACCCCCGACCCCAGCATTTTAACAACTAGTAGAATTTCATTAGTTTAAAGGAAGTGCATCGTTTTGAAAGCTCCTAATTGCATCTTCATTTCTGAACTTTCTGAAACTGGCAGGCCCATGTATGACTGATGTACTGACATTCAAATTAAATTAAAAAAACATTAGTTGAGGCATGATCGTAACTCTGGTCAATATTTGTTGCCACGGGAGAAGTGGCTTCAATTTATATTAATTAAGACCAAGTCGGCAGTAACTCTCTGGATGGCTGCATGGCCATATGAGGAGTGGTCATTTTCAACGCCCAGCTGGAAATTGAATTTTGCATTCAGTGGAAGGATCACTGAGAAAACAGAAAACAATATAAACTAATTTAAACAGGACTTAGAATGCAGCATTATTAGAGCTATTCATGTGGAAAGAAATTAACACTGCTCATAAAAATCACATCACAGACGCACTTATAAAAATTCCATAGACATTCTGTGAACATGCTTTCGTCTATTTCTGATGTGGGTGCTGTTCAGAGAGGGGTGCATACATGTGCTTTTCCAAAGTCAGGACTGGGGAACTGGCTGCAGTGTGGAGGGGACAGGTCCCTTGTGCTCGTCAAAGAGGTCCAGTGCTTCCTTGACTGGGTCTTCCTCACACACCTAGCCTGTGGTGACTGTCTGCAATCTAGTCCTGCCTCCTCTGTAGTGCCCCGTTTTGGATGGCATCTTAGCGATGCCTTCGAGCTCTTGCACAAACCACACACTGAGCCTGTGTGCCCTCACACTCTGTCCACCGGCCTAAATGCTAGTCTTCCTTCAGTATTCGACTTAAGAGCCCCTTTCTAGAAGAAACTTGCCAGCAACTCCAGGCGGAATGAGATGTCCCTTGCTAGGGGCGCACCATTCTCTGCATTGACTGCACTGAACACTTTATAATAACTGCTATTTACAGATACGTCTCCAGGTGTTCAAGAGCTATATGAAAACCAGTTTCTCAGAACACTGTTCAATCTGTAGCTTACTCTGAGCTTTTCCCTCTGTAGATTATAGTTTATTATATTCTTTTCTCTCATAGACGAAGAGTATTTATTACCAGCAAGTTGCAAATTGATGGTTAAAGCTGGGAAACATCACAATGGGTTCATACACCCCTGTCTATCAGAATAAATGTTCGTCTGGGCCAGACGGTCAACTTGTTCATCCTTCAGGCCTCTGTGGTCTTTGACTTGGGAGTGAAGGGGAGAGGTGGATCAGGAGATCACACAACAGCAGGGCTTCAGCAAGAAGGCACTGACTAATGTATTGAATAACTCCACAATTCTTCTGAAAGCATTTTAATAATTGTACTCTTCATTTTAATATCATAAAGAATACATGATAGGAGAATGGTTTTCTGTCTTCCTTCAATATCACCACCTAAATTCATGCCCATCTCATTTCCTCTTTGGTTATTTCAGGTTCAGTCAACATTCACCCCTCTCTCTTCCCTCTATGTTTATTAAGTAGTTGTCACACCGTGTGCATTACAAAAAAAAAAAAGGTATAAAACAAAGAACAAACCAAACCTGCAGATGGAACTAGTCTTTGCTATTCAGACAGCCCAGAACCCTGGGTGGCATGGTGCGTGCTCATCTATTAAACTGGTTAGCAGTTCAAATCCCCTCAGAGGCATCAGCCATGGAAGAAGGCCTAGTGATTCACATCCATGAAATGTCAGCCATGAACATTCTAGGAAGCGCGTCTGTGCTCTAATGATTGAAGTCGCCAATGAGTCAGGACTGAATTGATGACAGTGAGGATCCAAAGGCCACACGCGTGACTGTCATTTGGGG